CATTCATTCTTTCCACATGACCAAACCACCGAAGCATTCCTTTCTTAATCCTGGTCACAACATCATCTTGCAAACCACACTCTTCTCTTATTACACAATTTCTTACCCTGTCATTAAGATTCAGCCCTAACATACTCCTTAACGACCGCATTTCTACTGCGTTCATTCTACTCTCGTGCTTCTTCTGCCACACCCAACTTTCACTACCATATGTTAAAGTAGGGACCAACACAGCATTGTGAATTGCCATACGTGCCTTTTTCGACACATTTTGACTCTTCACAATAGAGTGCAGGGCCCCATTTACTCTATTTCCCGCATTCACTCGTCGTTCTATATCCTTATCATATCTCCCATCCCTGCTAAATACGCAGCCCAAATATACAAACTCGTCTACTTGCTCGATCAACTCCCCTTCTATTCTTATTTCACAAATCGTTTTACTTTCTTCTCTTTCAAAAACCATAACCTTCGTCTTACTTGCGTTCACTTTCATACCCCTTTCTTGAAGTTGTACGAGGAAGAAAACTTCTTTTAAATTGAAGTGGTGGACTGCTAGTCATCCAGATAGTATGCATGGTATCGCGAGTTTTGTCGCGATGTGTGATGGTGAAATTGTGCGGCTGAAATTATTCCAAAAATTTCCTCAGAGCATTTCTCGCGGTAAATGCGATATAATACGCAAAGAGATGCAACATCTCTTTGCAGTGCCAGATGGTCAATACGATCGGAAAGAGCTCGGTCGCCGACGATTCGAACGGCTCTGCGCTGGATGCGATCCAATGGAAGGAGCTGGCACTGGAGAGCCTCAGCCAAGAGATGGGAACAGTACTTCAGTGGTGTGCTTGCATGAAATGCTGTCCCGGTCTGCTGAGCACGCCAAGTATTTTAGAGGCCAATTTAGCCTTCTCTTCCAAGTGACCACGAAACTGCACGTCACTCGATATGTCAACGCCGAGAATGCCAATACTAGTGAAGGCAACAAGGGAAGTACCTTGAAAACCTTTGTACCTTGAAAAGGGGATATACGACGAAAGGATTTTATTTAGCGGTAAACACACAAACTTGTGTCTTTTGGGGATGGAACTGGACTAGATTTAGCCGCCACAAATTTTTTAACACAGGACTCGGCGACGTTTTCACGAGAAATATTAGCACGGCCGGTGTATAAAGCATCACCAGTGCTGTTTTCCGCTTAGCAATGATTCCGATTTGCAACATATCATTGATGTGCAGAAGAAACAGCGTTATTGACAGCACACAGCCTTGTGGAACACCAGCGTTAAAGGGCTTGTAATCGGAGCACGCACTATGTGCTACGACCTTGATGCTTTGATCTGCAAGAAAGCTGGTGACTCAATTGCGCAATTTCTCGGGAAGCTCATAGGAAGGAAGTTTTGTAAAAGTTGTGTGTGTTTGGTAAATCAAATAAATTTTGAGGACACTTAATGTCCCCCAACACACTGGTACAGCGTGGTGATATTCTTCGTGTAAGTACTCTCAGAAATTAATGCAGGCGTGTGCCCAACATTGGGACCTAATATATGGACTGTTTTATCATTACTTTTTTTCAATCATTAAGATGGTTTTTGTTTGAAATGTAGAACATGGCAGAGGGAAACAAACCAGAAAATGGGCAGCTGCGTCTTCCTAAAAACAATTATAAAATAAGAAAATTCCGTCATTCTGGAGTACTTGAAAAGCTCGAGCTTTCAAATAAAACAAGAATCATCAAAATTGTTACACATAGAAAGGTTATGAGGTAACACACATAAACGAAACAGTCGAATTGAGAACTTACTTTTTGGCCGGTCCCAACAGAAGTCTACATATATACAATTTTTGGTGTCATTTTCTTTACTACTTCGAAAAAAGTTTTTTCCTTGAAATGCCGGAAATTGGCCATTAACAGATTACAAACGAAGAGAACGAACTGAAACGGCCCGTCATTTCTTCTTTGTAACAAATTTAATCAAGGTAATGGAAAATTTAATTAATTTATTTTTCAAAAATTTGTTGTAGTAGGATTAAAGGAAATATACATAACATATATATATATATATATATATATATATATATATATATATATATACACACTCCACGTGATGGTAAGTGTAATATATTTAATAACCATTCAATGTACCTATTCGAATATTATTTTAAGTTAATTTACTTCAATAAAATAATCATTTGTTCACCCAAAAAGATTTCGTTAAGAAAGATCTTCAAAATATTGCAAACTTATAACAAGGAAGAAATAATTGTTGTTTTACATTCATTCCATATTTCTGTATTGTTATTTGTTAGTTGTTGTTTGGGACCATTCCCATTCCCTTTAAAGTTATTAACAAATATGTCTACCAGAAAATGTTATTTACTTATGTTATCTTGAATTATTGATCTTTAGTTAAAGGTTTTGCATCGTATAAGTAACCTCACTGAATATAAAACTCTAACATTTGAAATAATTTATTAATAGGTATAACTGATTTTTAGTTTGTTTATGTTGTATTATATTCTAAGAACTAACTTTTATCCGACGATTAAAATTAAGCCCAAAGTTATTTAGTTATTATTCCAAATTCATCATCGTTAATAAACCATCACAACACATCAGCGAAATTTCGAATTAAGTTCAACCTGTGTGTCCTGCATCCTCTGGTTTCTGGGTTCTGGTCTGGATATAGCATTGATCGATTAGTTACTTTATTATAGAATTCTAAATCAAACTAACCACTATTAGATTTTTTTACATTTCTATATATTATCCTTGGTTTTAGGCTAGAAAGGCCTATGAACCTGTAAAAGCCAAAAGGCTAGCGGCATTAACATCATCAGAAACCAGATATCTTATCCGATTTCAACAAGGAGGATATTGAAAACCTACTTTGAGAACGTTAAGAACTAAGACTGTAATTATTGATTCTTTTTCTTTTAAATAGACTCCAGAACTCCAGGTTCCAATTTAAAGAAAGGAAAAGACGTCTAAAGCGAGAAAAAGTTGGGGATGAAGTTTTTTCCTATTTAAACGACGTTCTAATTATTATCTTGAGCTTGCGATATTGTGTTGATTTAGTTAAAATTATAAATAACGAAATGTACACAAGTTATAACCAACTTGTGATTTACAAAAAATGCTATGCATGAGTTATTTTTTGATTTTTCAAAAAAAATAAATACAGGTCAAACAAAAATACACTCAACAATAAATTAATATAATTAATAATTAATAAATAAGTATTTCTTGCAGTAGACGGTATTAACATTATATTTAAGCACGACAAAAAATTCCCTTACTTCCAAATGCCCATCTTGGCATCAATAACAAGGAGAAGCGTAAAAGTTATAGTAGAGTATTAAACATCATCAAAACACAATGGTATGGCTTACCTTTCCTTTGCCAATAAACGATACAAAATCTTGATATAGATAAACGATTGGTGATGATGGTTCTTCTTAAGTGAATAAGGGCGATTAGGTAGAACGAGTACGCAGTCCATCTGATGGTAAGTAGCTAATGGATATCTACATCTATCCTTGATTAAGAATCAAAATGCAGATGTGTTGTCACTCCTGAGGACTAATATAGAATGCCTCTTAAAAGGTTCTCCAGTTCACTACGCTTACAGTACAAAGCAGCATCATTGAACTTCTATCTTATGCTGATATTCTGTTAGAGCGTGGTCCTTCTCCGGTCGAGCCGACTCGTTCGTGCTAGAACCATAATATAGCTGCATCTTGAGTGTAATACGTATGATATTGGTTAATCAATTAGAAATAATTTGACAACGTAACTATTACTTCTTTTAATACAAAAATGTATTCAAATTGTAACAGCTATTAATCAAGCCTTAGTGCGTTTCTCAATAATTGTTTATGAATAAATTACAAATTATGTATTCTAGTCATGTCATGGTCTCTGTAGTCGTATCCAAGCATTCTCACAAAATCACGAATACGCGCTTTCGTTCTAACGTACTTATTGTGCTTAGCTAGAATTTGTTAGTTGCCATCAGTGTACTAATTTATCATGTGCTAAACTGTACTTGCAGACCCTTCTTTTAGTAAGTTTTTTGTTTTAAGTAAGTAAAGTAACAAGAATACTATGTGGTATGACCGCTTCCAATACGTCTGCGTAGGTATCACTCCCTGGAGTATTTTTGCCGGCAGATAACCGTGCGTGCGCTTCTGTGTTTCGGTCTCAAGGGTATACAGATACAGTATAAATTATAGACAGTGAGGCATTCCGTCCTAGTCCTTAGAAGTGACAACGCATCTGTACATAGGTTGCAGTTGTTACTATTTAGTTGGACTGTAAGTTCGTTTGTCACTTTAATTTTTCAATTAACAAACACATAGATACATTATATCTTACCAGTGTGACGAATTCTCAGTCCGACTCCTAACCTTGTAATTGCCCCCGTATCTTTAAGTCTACATCCTACATCAACTTGGGTAACTTTGAACAGTTTTTGAAGATTTTTACAAACAGAGTAAAAAAATTATATGAGAGATTAATGATTTTATTACGTTAACTGTGTTCTGTTAATGTTATTTACGTATTATAATATTCAGATTAATTAAAATACGCTTAATTCTTACTAAATTTGACGATTGAAATACCATTCAAAGTTATCTTGAATTTTGGGTAACTTTGAACTCTTTTGTTTCTGAAGACTAAAACATATAATATTGGACTTATTTCGAGCTTGGGTACCATTAACTAGCGTTTTTTAATAAGAAAATAAAATCATGCTCTATGGCCAGTCGTTTGCAGTACAATTTTTTTTATATCACTTGGGGATGCCATATACGAACTAAATGTACCAAAAAGGAAGATAGAAAAACAAAAGTTTTATACATTTTTAGCTGTATTTATTGACTTAAATTAATAAAATAAAATTTGTATTAAAATACTAGAGCTTTTTGGGTTTCATTTGAGATCAAAAATTTGTATATTAAGATGACATTTCTCATTAATATTTGACTTACAAAAAATCTTACTCTCCCCACTCCATGAATAAAATTTCATCTTCTATGTATGTTATACCACCTTTCTTGGAGATTTGATGTTCTTTTACGATACTTACCGATACCTTTACTTTTAATATCTCGGCTTTTGAAGGCCACTTCCAACCTCCTAAAAAGGATTTTTGGAAAGCTGAAACCATGACAGTCGCGGTTGACAAATTTACTTTTCGTATTTGTCCTAGAAACCTGCTCCCCTCATTACTAAATATACAATAAGCATCTTTCACCAAATCTCTAACAGAATCATTTTTTTCGGTGTTATCTTCCTTGCGGGTTAGTCCACTCTTGTGTGACGTAGAGGCTGTTAAGTCACCGCTAGGTTCTACAACATATTCTTCTACAATTGGCAAATCCTTATCTTCCCATAATATTTGTTCTTCCGACTCTCCAATTGTAAAATCTCCTCGGATTGTTATGACTGGTGGCTCAACCTCTTGTTCTTGAAGCACAGATAGATTATCACCTATGTCAAGCATATATAAATCTTCAGCTATTTCTGGAGAAGGTGGTCTGTGTATCATAGCCTCAACGACTAACTTTGCGTGTCCTCCAATGTTTTGTGACTTAAGTTCATTTCCATCACCTTCTTCACCATGCTCAACAGTATCAACGACCTCATTGTTTTCACTGTCATTTTCTGTTGACAAGACTTCTCCAGAAGGAGCAGGATCCCTTTGATTTTTCTTTTTCTTGTTTTTTGATCCCATGGGCCTGCAACGTTTTTTAGACTGGCTGGTTTCTACTTCATTTCCTGTCTTCGTTTTGGCTGTTTTTCCCCTTTCTTTATAATAATTTTCCACTTCTTCAACCGACTCTTCCCTGCTACTACAGGTAATTGAAATTTCTTTCCTTTGGTTACTGTATTTAAATCCGATTGCCTCACATTTTCTATATAATTAATAAAACTTTCGCCTATAGTGTCGCTTGTGTCCACAGTAGAGGTATATGCTGGAAGTTTGTTTAACACAGTATCTGGAGACAATGGATACAAACCACAACTTTTAAATCCTGCTCGCAGATATTTAGATGAATTGGCATTTCCATTTTGTAAAGTTTTTTTTAATTAACTGGGCAAATAACGACTTCGGCAGAGCCAACACTTTCTTGCCTCTGCAGGTTTGACGATAATCATTAAGTACTTTTCTCTATGCCGATTTTACTGTCGAAAAATAGCCTACATCAAGGGGTTGAAGAAGATGTGTCGAGTTAGGGATTAAACAAATGAACGAAAAATTATTTTCAGCACATAAGCTCAGTGCTTTAGGAGATATGTGCGCGCTTAAATTATCACACATTAATATTTTTTTTCCTCATATTTTTTCACGAATGGAATGAATTGGTTTTCTAACCAATCTTCAAAAATTATTGTCTCCATCCATCGTGATTTTGAGACTGCCATTCTGGAACCTTCAGGGGCTTGATATAGCCAATCAGACCAAAGTTTTACCCCTTTAAAAATAAAAAATGGTGGTACGAGCTCACCTGCTGCATTCCCACAGAAGACTATGGTAAAACACAATTTAGAGCTGTTTTTTATTACATCAGGGTGCTTGCAATCTCTACGAAATAGCAATTTCTTTTTCCCGGGATCGTCATGAAACCCTGACTCGTCCATGTTATACAAATTTTGTGGAGCGACGCCTTCACTCTCCTTGGAAAAATGATTAAAAAATTATTCAACTTGCTCACGATTAACTTGAGCTCTTTTTCTCGGGATATCATGAGATAGTTTCTCCTTCAGTAAAGGGTGTCTTTCTAAAAATAATGTTCCCCATTCATAACCAGGCATATTGTCTCTAAATTGCGGCACAATCCTGTTGTTTTTATTTAGATCTCTGACGATAATCCTGAAGTCTAACATACTCAATGATAAGCCCACATCACTCAACAGTAACAAATGATTCAGAAAGCTCTCCTTCTCTTCTGCGGTAAATGTAATAAGGTCTTCCGATATTTTTGATATGTTTCTTATTTAATTTATAATATAATGTTACAGGTGGTATATTATAATCTTTGGAAGCATCCATCCTAGACATGGCACCTGACCGAATTTTATTAAGTGCCTCTTCCAAAATTTCTGGAGTATAATTGCTTTTAGTTCCATATTTTCTAACACCAGGCTTAATTTTAAAGGATTTTCGCGGCATTGTACCTTTAAATAAAAAACAATTATGTTCATACATATGTTTTTTAACATTTGATAGCAACACATCAAAGTTACTCCATCTAATAAAATACTACCAGGGTATCATTGAATGGTTCAAAGTTACCCAAAAATTTGTTATTTTTTTCTGTATCAAATGATTATCAAATATATGGGTAAAAGGGTTAGTAAATTATATGTTAATTGACAAAAAGATAAGTTAAAACTGTGCCAGTAATATTAAACACAATACTTACCCTCTTCAGTTACGATATCTTTAAAAAAATGTAATTTAAATTCACTAATAAACTTTGTTGCAGACAGACCTTGTTTTGGCAGACGCGCTAAAATACAAACTGACATTGACAAGTACAGTTTTTTTGTTAAATATAGTCTATACATTCCACTGTTTAGCTCTACACGATACCTTCTCTATTTGGATACTCTGGTACAGCTGTAAAAAATATTTAATTGTTAGTGAAGTTCTATTCAAAGTTACATTGAAATTCAAAGATACCCAAGTTGACTCGCGCGGTGCGGCAGTAATCCTACTATTCTGTTTTTACTATGGAAGTACTCACTAATCTACGTGGGGTTAAGTGCTCGTAGAATCTACGCTAACTGTAGTACTAAAGCGATGTGCAATACAAACTATTCTTTTTTACCAGCTTAAAAAGAATATTTTGGATTGCACATCGCTTCAGGACTTCAATATGATATTAAAAATTTGAATGTATGTCTTTTTTGTATTTATTTTGTTATTTTTATATAGAAATGAGGATATCCGCAGTAGAACCAGAGTGACCGACATAGCCCAACAGATTAGTATGCTGAAGTGGCAATGGGCCGGCCATATAGCTCGAAGAACCGATAACCGATGGGGAAGAAAGGTTCTCGAGTGGCAGCCTCGTACCGGTAGGCGAAGTGTAGGGCGACCCCCCACTAGATGGAGTGATGACCTGGTAAGACATGCAGGAAGTCGATGGATGCAGGTGGCTCAGGACCGTGCTTTGTGGCGTACCTTGGGGGAGACCTACGTTCATCAGTGGACTTGTGAAGGGCTGTAATGGTAATGATGATGTAGAAGAATGCTGACGTAGCAAAAATAATAAAACTCACGTTGTTACAATGTTAGTTAAATTAAGTCAGCTTAAATAACATTATAATCTATATCGTTATTTATTGGTTTCAATAGAACTGTAAATATAATTATAAATTTGTTGTCAAAGGTATATCGACTACAAAGGCTTTAATATCTGACGCGCACAGCGACGAAATGCAGTAAATTTCCAGCATCTGTCTTTTCATTTAATTACAATTTTTTTGTCCAGACAAAAGTAAATATGCCATTCAGTGCGTTTTACTATCTTGGGCATCACCTCTTACCATTGTGTGAAATAGTAATCAAGCTTCATCAAATGTCTGTGATGAAATGTTCTTTTAAAAGATAAAGGAAGACGTTTGATCATAAAGCATCCTTACTATTACTACATAGCGCTAGCGTGGACATTTGTGGTAAGTACTACTAATACTAATATCTTCTGTGCTAGGAGATATTAAACAACAGTTACAAAACTAATAAACTTACTAAACTAGTTTTTGTTAGTATCCTATACCGAATCTCTGAAACGGCTCCAACGATTTTCCTAAAATTTAGTGTCCAGGGAGTTTCGGGGGCAATAAATCGATCTAGCTAGGATTTATTTTTAGAAAATGTCCTTTTGTCCGTGTTTTCAGGCAATAAAATAACTGCTACAATATAAGAAGGTAAATTTTGACGTATAGCGTTACGATCGTAATAGCTCAGGTGGGATATCGGTCGGGCGTGATATCGGAGTTCCGTGGTTCGCGTCCTGTCTCTGGTCCGACTTTTTTTTTCAAGTTCTCTTCTTTTGTGAGAAAATCTATTATTTCAAGCCCTTTTTTTTAGTATTTTTTAAAAATACGAACTTTTTAATAAAACTAATTGCACTCATGATTTTTTATTCAAATAATCAGTTCAGTTTTTTCTATTCTGTCAATAAGATCAAAAAATATTATTTATGTTTCATAAGTATGTAATTTATAAATGTAATTTAAAAAAAAAACGAGCAAAGCTCGGTCATCCGGGTACTTTACATGGTATTATGTTCGAGAATACTAGGTTCTGATGTGGCAGCCTAGTACTGGTAGGTGAAGTAGCTTCCTATTTCCTACTAGATAGAATATAGATCCTGGTTAGACATGCAGGAAGTCAGTGGATGCAGATGGCTCAGGACCGTGCTTTGTGGCATTTCTTGGGGACTTATGACTTGTTAAGGGCTGTAATGAATGAATTTACGAAATCTATCAACACCGTGCTTTTAGGCATAGGCATGTTCCACTCTACATGTACATATGTACTACTCTTGTATTATATGTATTAAATTTACAACAATAAATATTATAAATCCGAATAATAATGTGTTTTAAATGGGGTGGAACTGATTCCTGTTGAATCCTCTGCTTTTCTTGGCATCACTCTTGGCTTCAGTGGGGCCCCCATATATCTAAACTAGCAAGATCTTTAAGCTCTGCAGCTTATGATGTAAAAAAGATTAGAGATCTCACTAAATTAGTTTATTTTAGTTATTTTCATAGTACAATATCATATGGGGTTTTTCTATGGGGAAATGCGTCTGATTTAGAAACTATTTTCATTTTGCAAAAGAGGGCCATTAGAGTTATTTACAACCTTAGACTGAGAGAGTCTCTTAGAGAAAAATTTAAAGCACTAAATATATTAACTTTGGCCTTTCAGTATATCTACGAAAATTTTATGTACATTCACAAAAACAAAGGTAGTTTTAGTAAAAAAAAGGGATATACACTTAGTAAATACTAGGAACAAAAACAAGCTAGTGATACTAGTTTCTCGACTCCACAGAGTCAGTAATTAATTCTTGGGGCAATGTATACGCTATTTCACCTAAGTCCCAGAAAATATACAAGGTATCTCTATTACCAAGTTTAAATATTTAATCAAACAAAAACTATATAAATAGTTTTAGTATGAAGTATTGAGAATGAGGTGGTCGTTCCCAAGCGGATTCTAAAATAAATTTTGTAAATATTTTGTGACCATCGACATAGTTAAATAATTTCTTTTGCACGTATGGCAAATCACAATGCTGTATTAGTCTCTAACGTATGGTAGTGAAAGTTGGGTGTGGCAGAAGAAGCACGAAAGTAGAATAAATGCAGTAGAAATGCGGTCTCTAAGGAGTATGTTAGGGCTGAATCTGGTGACAGGGTGAGAAACTGTGTGATAAAAGAAGAGTGGGGTTTGCAAGATTATGCTGTGACCAGGATTAAGAAAGGAATGCTTCGGTGGTTTGGTCATGTAGAAAGAATGAATGCGGAAAGACTGATAAAGCAAATATCAACATATATTTGCTTTGTCAGTCTTGAATCATCAGAAGTCAGAAGTGAATGGAAGAGTCGGAAAGCGACGTCCTATGCGAAAGTTTGTCGACCAAATTGGCGATATACTAAAAATAGGCCAAATTAAGAGTACTCTTAACCGACGAGCATATACGAGTATGCGTAAGTATATGGATGTGGAAGAGGCGAGAGAGTTGTGTCAGGATCGTGCTAAATGGAAGTCTGTAGTCTCTGTTTACCCCTCTGGGTGACAGGCGTGAGTGTTTATGTATGTATGTATGTAATTTTTTTAAAAGTTCCACTGGATTTCTTGTTGGTTCTTCCCAGAACATAGGTTTCTTTTCGAACCAGTGGTAAAATAAAAAATGACTTTCAATAAGAATTACAATATGTAATCTACATTGAATAAAAAATATTCTATTCTATTATATTCTAATAAAGTAAAACCTGACTTTTGTTTAGACCACAGGATAGAGAATTTTGTATAGATTTTATAATGCCAAACTTCTTCATAGAAAAGTAGTCTCTAAGTATAAGTTTTAATGGTTTTAAGTGCTTTGGGTAGTTGCGGTCGCATGCGACCGCTCGGGATTTGCCAGGCGCATGCGATTGCATAGGAATTGTATGGGGATCGAAGGGCTAAGTAATACCTTCTATCTGTTATAATGAGGATAACGTGATCACATAGAAATGTCTTACCGTTACAACCTACCAAAGTTCACTGTTGAACATTGCCATAAATTGCCTCATAAATTTTGATAAGATTTTCGCCACATTTACCATATTGGAAGGTAAACCAACCGCAGTTTTTTTTTATTTTTAATAAAAGA